ACTATATCTACGCGAAGCCGTCAGACATGATATATCCGATTATATGGACCTCTCGTTGTGTCCACTAATAGCTGATCACAGGAGGGAGGGAGGAGAGAGAGAGAGAGAGAGAATTAGTTATTTACCACTATCAAGTGGTTTTGATCTAGTATCAATTAATAGTGTAAAATAATTAATTTAATTTATTAACAGTAAATACTATATAATTTCTATATTTGAAAATTATTGGTTACTATAAATAACAAATTTTTGTTAATATACAATATAGATATTTGAATCAATCTCATTTTATTAATCTAGTATCTAATTGCCAACAGATTTACATCGGAAGCCGAGACATAGGAAAAGGAGAAACAGCTGTACAGGACATCAAAGCTCGTAATCCGGATTCAAACATATTTGTGTTTAAACTCGATTTATCGTCATTAAAATCAGTCCGAGATTTTGCCCAACAAATTATAAACAATGAAAAATCAGTGGATTTACTCATAAACAATGCCGGAGTAATGATGTTGCCGTATAATACCAGTGCAGATGGGTATGAATTACAATTGGCTACAAATCACCTAGGTGAGTATTTTATAGCGCTAACATTAATTGTGAAATTGTTATTCAATGTAAATTAAGTATTTTATCTAATTAATTATTATTATATTATTTATCAAGGGCATTTTCTATTAACACTACATTTACTGCCGGTAATGAAAAGATCCAAAAAGGCCCGCATTGTAAATGTATCATCAAGTGCCCATCGTATCGGTGAGATTGACCTGGATAATATTAATTTAAAACACGGCGCTTACAGTCCATTAAAAGCCTACGCCCAGAGTAAACTGTGCAACGTGCTATTTACTAAAGAGCTCGCCAAACGATTACCAGGCTCAAATATTAACGCGTACGCGCTTAATCCCGGTTTAATCAACACTGGACTGGATAAATACGTGTGGCCACCCGTTCCCACTAGTCTTAAACCCTATCTGTATTTAAGCCCAGAGATGGGATCCCAGACTACACTCTACTGTGCCATCGATGAGACTCTGGATAATGAGTCCGGATATTATTACGAGTTAACTATTTTATTGCATATTTATTATAATTAGTAATAATCAATTTGCGGTAATCTTGTTTAGTAATTGTCGACGCGTTAAGCACATGGTTTCCAACGCCAGAAACGATACGACCGCTCGTCTACTCTGGGAATTGAGCGCCGATTTAGTCAATCTCGAGAAAGAGCTGAGGATTTAAGCTTTGTTTTTGTATTTATTATTGTTAAGTTAGTTGATATAAAATTAAAAATAATAATTTTATTGGTCACATAATGATCAATAATTATAAAACATTGTTTAATATGTATTACATTTTATTATAAAATGTCTCAATAATATTATAAAATAAGATTTAAAATGGTAAATTGTTAGATTACTTTAAAAGTAATCATTTTAATTCTTTTAAATATTTTGCTAGTATTTTATTTCAACAATAATTGTTAAATAATCATTGAAAGCATTAATTATTATAAACTTAATTTTAAACTCAGTATTTAAAATATAAGGAAATATAAATATAAATTTTAAATGACAATACCTAATAGCTGATTATTTGTGATGTAAATAATTATAAGTTTGAAAAAACCTCATTAAATTAAAAATATTTTCACTTATATTCACCTACAGTATTGAGTTAGTATAAATTATAACTAAATTATAATTTATAACAAACAGTCTTTATAACAATTAAACCCAAATTAATTGTAAAACAAAATAAAAAATTATTTCGCTTTCTGTGATACAAACGCCGGTTTCGTTGAATCCAATTCACGGAAACCTAAATCCAGTACCCATTGGGGTATATATGGCAACACCAGTGGCACCACTTTAAATGGCCACACATTAACCGGACTATAAGTTTTATTAGGGCTCCGACTGCGGACCGCATCGACCATAGCGTCGACAACTGTTCCCAAATTCTTAGACCCAAAGGACAACCGGCGGCGCCGTTTCAACGCCGCCAACTGATCGGCGAAATACTGGTTACCGTAGACCTGGCGTATGGGGTCGGGTGTGTTGGCCCAGTTGTGTTCAAACGACGGTATGACTGCATAGTAGACACCGGTTTTGAAAAATGCCGGTTCAATAGTGGACACCCGGACCCCAAACTTGGCCATCTCTCGCCGCAATACTGTGGCCACCGATATAATGGCCGCCTTTGATGAACAGTAGGCCGACAGGTTGTCGGAGGCCAGTCGGCCCCCCATCGACGCCACGATCACTAAACGACCTGTAATTTTATTTTTAAAATGATTAATAATTTGTAACTTGCTAACTTACATCAATTATTGGACCATCTAAAGGAGTTCTAACATAAAGTATTTTATCGTAATTTTTATATTAGTTTAGTTCTAGTAATTAAAATTAATTTTAGATTTAAAAACAAATGTTTAGCATTTTTAAAAAAATTAAACTCGTTTAATTATAGCATTAATTATATAAGTAATTTTTTAATTTACTAAACTCATATTCAACATCCCCGCCTAATACTTTATAATGTGTAAATGTTGTTTATAATATGATAAATATTAGTATTATTTTTAAACTTAAATTATCTATTAAAATTTAAATAAAATTAATAAATTAGTAAATAAATCAAGTTAAATATAGTATTATTAAAAAGTTATATTTACAATTATTTACAATATTTTATAATGTTTTATATAACAAGATACCATAATTATATTTAATTATAAGTCTAAATTCAAAATTATTTATTTCTATATACGACCTGTAATTAATGTTTCAACACAATAAATAGTTTGCTATTTGCTAACTTATATTAATTATTGGATGACATACAAAAATCACATTATTGTATCATTAATATTTGATAAACATAATATTAATTATTTTTACAAATTATCATTTATAACAACTGTTTATTATTTTAACAATGTTTAGTATTCAAATTTTAATAATACATGAACACTTTATTAAAACATGGTTTAACTCACTTTTAAATTATTGTCGCACTTTAAGATAATATTTTTATTTTGTAAAACTTTGTAAATTAATGTAATTAAAGTATCTTAAATAAAAATGTTTATAATATTGTAATTATTTAAATATAATGACTCATTTTTATTGATGAGTTATTTATGAGTTAATATAAAATATTATACGAGCTGTAAATTGTTTTTAAAAATATTAAATGAGTTTAATATTCGTTAACTTATACTAGATTTTGGTTCATTAGAGTTTGAGTTCTAATCTTTTAATTTTTTTGGTTAAGATTTTATATTAATCCATTTTAAAGTTTGCTTTTAAATTATAAAGTGTACATTAACGATAATTCAGATTAATCTATTTAAAACGATAGGGTTTATAATGTTTCAAGTAACACGAAATAAATAACATACCCTTTGTTTCTCTAATAAGTGGTATGAATTTTCTGGTCACCCGAACCACACCAAACACGTTCACATCATACACCTTAACAAAGTCG